CGGTGGGGCGAAGGTACTACACTCGTTCGGCTGCCAGTGCCGGCCGGAATCGGGGCGANCGATGCCCGACCCCGACGAGCTAGTGAGTTTAGACCACCTATCATCACCCAGGCCCATAACCAACAGGCTAAGGGCAGTTTAAGTGGGTGCTAGAACTGACTTGTAAAGGGAATTAGCACAGGACGCCAAGGACACTTCCCCCCAACGGCCTCTCCATGGGCACCATCATGCGCATGCCATCAAGATCCAGGCCATCGCGCGCAAGAAGTACGTGCTCTCGAATGCGTTCCACGACAGCCGCTACGCCCAGGAGCACCGGAAGCCGGACCTCGACACGAAGGCCCGGTCCCAGGCGGCCATGGACAAGCCAACGCAAGCCCGCGAAATAAACTATCCTAACTTCCTACCAGGCGCACAAATAATAATGAGGATGTCAGCGACAGCCGGACTCGTACTCGAGTGCGAGATATATCTCTTGTCTCTCTCCTCTGTATCCTGAATATCCTGGCAGATATATCCTGGCGGCTATATCACCTGCACATATTAAAGCGCTAGCCGGGCCGACATATATCTAATATCCGCGATCAGGCGCATCGCTCATAATGTTGGGCATTTTCGGGCCCTCTAAAACGCCTGGCGAGCAGGTGCTCCGGTCCGTAGGAAATGACACGAATGGATACTCTGGCTCAGGTTAGAAAAACGCCCTGTCGAGAGCTTACACTCGTCTATGCATAGGCTTTGATCCAACAGGACTTGAACGCGCTGCGAAGGCTGCACGTGAGATCGATGCTTCGCCAAATGCAAGTATTTTACTGTAGTATTTTATTCATTTTTCAAATTCAGGCGTCACTGGCCTTTGACGTGATACAGCAACAAGAGGTGACAAAACAGCTCGAACATGGGACACGGCAGTCTGCATACGAGATGCAAGCGCGGAAATTTGAGATGGCCCGCGTGAAGGATGAGGGTGATGAGGCACGGCAGACGCTGGTGGTGAATTGCAGAGTAGTAGCCAATTAGAGACGGTTTCAATAGTTATGTACATATGTACTAGGCACAAACGGAACATGCAAATCGCCAAGCAAAATATGCTGACAACCTCGAACGTCAGCGGTACGCAGAACAACTCAACTCGCAACGCGATGCACGCGAAGCTGAACTGCGAAGGCTGGAAGCCGCTGCACTCCGTCAAGAAACCCTCCGGCGTGAGACACTTCGCTACGAAGCAGAACTGAGGTGCGAGACAGAACTGAAGCGCGCAGAAGCCGAGGCGCGGCTTAAGACCAAATCAGAACGTGAAAATCATGATCTAACTCTCGAGCGCATGCACGCGGAGATGAAGGAAAAACGTGAGACGCTCCTCCTATCAATTTCTGCTGGCTTTTCATCTCTTGGTGAGGGTGCTAGATTGTTCCTTGGCGACCAACACCAGATGGGGAATGCTGTCGTCATGATAACAAGCCTCGCAATCGGCGTGTATAGTGCACGGGTCGCTGCATCTGTGGCGGGAAATCATCTAGCCAAACTTCTCGGGAAGCCCAACCTGGTTCGTGAAACATCCCGGAAGACACCATTGCAATTGTTGTCACGGCCAAGTACCATGGCCTTTGATTCACTTGACCGCGTGATTCTCGATGCTAATCTAGAAACGAGGCTTAGTCGCATCGCTGATTCGACCAAATACACCAAGATCAACGGCGCATATTTTCGTCACGTCCTCCTGCATGGCCCCCCTGGCACCGGCAAGACCATGTTCGCCAAACGGCTCGCAGTACATTCTGGGCTCGACTACGCAATTCTCACAGGTGGTGATATTGCACCACTCGGACGCGATGCAGTGACTGAGATTCATAAACTTTTTGATTGGGCGCGGCAATCTCGGCGGGGACTTCTCCTCTTCATTGATGAGGCCGATGCCTTCCTACGAAAACGTGCGACGGAGACCATCTCTGAAGACCTTCGCAATGCGTTCAACGCCTTTCTATACCGTGTGTTCCGTGAACCTTTTAAATCATCGCATGTACAACAAGCTATTACGCTTAGGCACCGGAGAGCCGTCACGCGACTTTATGCTTGTGTATGCTTCTAATGCCCCCGAGGAATTTGATTGGGCCGTCAATGATCGTATTGATGAGATCGTGGAATTTACCATACCAACAGCGACAGAACGCGAACGCATGCTCGCACAGTACATCAACGATTACATGTGTAGCACCGACGATCCACGCATTGTCGTAGATGGTGTTAGCGACAGCCATCTTAAGGCTGCTGTAGCAGCAACAGAAGGGTTTTCAGGAAGAGAAATTCACAAACTTGTGGTAGCCTGGCAGGCTGCAGTATTTGGCTCAGAGAATGCCGTGTTTACTCCTTCAATAATGCATGATGTCCTCGACACTCACGTGGTTCAACGTAATCTGAAACAAACATGGTCAGTCTAGTGTAGTTAGTAGCGACCACCACCATCATCAACATCAAATCACCAGCATCATCTCATTTGACAGCACCATGCTACTGCCATTTTGCTGCTATACCCAACCACACATAGCGAGCTACTAGAAAGTATCTACCCCCACCACTTTCGGCATCTATTGCCGGTCTTTATCTCACACTTCTCACACTGGCGGCTGCTTGCGGCAAGGAGCGCCTGCCTCGGTTGTTGCCTAGAGCATCGGGCCGTTGTAGCGCGGTAAGCAGATGTGGGTGCGCTCAAAGGGCCGGTCCCCTGATCCCAGGGCCGGCTCCTCGTAGCTTCTAGCGTACGCGACTTCGGCGGCGGACTTCCGGGACGTCTCCTTGGGGATTCCGAGCTTAAAATCCGAGGCGGTGTTACCGAGATAGTAAACTCCGGGACAGGGAGGCAGCCTGATTGGGGCTACCTGAGCTAAATAAAACTGCTGGCTGTGGTGGTCCTCTCCCAGCTCGCCGCTTCCCCGGGGTCCGCCCACCACCCTCCTTCGGCACGAATGAAGCACCCGCCCTGCCCTACCCTCCTCCATCCCGGGCCCCGCTGAGATGGCTGCGCCATCCAAGCGCGGTCCGTCGGCCTTCATTCTGGCACTCTTAACTGAATTGAGCTCAGCCTCCCCCTTGAGGGAGGAGTTTGCTCTGCATCCTTTAGCTCAGGCTAGTGGGAGATACGAAAGGCCAAGTGGACGGAAATTGCATTTACGGCGGTACAATATGCTTCCGGTAACGAGTTAGTGAGTTTAGACCACGTGGCGAAGCACGATAAGTACGCCAGGCTAGACTCCAAACGGCACCAGAGCGACCCCGAGCCGGCGCAGGCCGCTCCATCAGGGCCGTAGGGACCGGGGGGGGGCTAACAGGAACGCAGAGCGTCGGGGAACTCGGATGGCTCCTGCGGCGCGGTCACGCACTCGGGCCACGGTGCGCAGCGCCCGGCCTCGTTGTCCGCGGAGTCGGGGTCGTATCTCTCTGTCGACCTCTCCCAGCATCGGAGATCTTATTTCATCCGTGAGATCACTCGTTGGAACAAAAAAAGTGACCCCGTGCCGCGTCCGCGCCGTCCGCGCCGTCCGCGCCGTCCGCGCCGTCCGCGCCGTCCGCGCCGTCCGCGCCGTCCGCGCCGTCCGCGCCGTCCGCGCCGTCCGCGCCGCTTCGCGGAAGGGAGATTCGAAGCCGCGACCCCCTCGCGTCCAGCGGGGCATCCAGCGGTTGGGAAGAATTTATTTCGGGCCTCATCAGCCGTTCCCGTACATAAACGCCCTCCCTTTGTGGCCCATGATCACACACCCAATCCCACAAAGTTTGCCGGCGATTCGACCAATCATCGACATGCCAGCACGCGGTGGACATCCAGCGGAGGAAGCAGGGATCGTATGCCCCGAGACACCCGCATTGCGCGCCGAAAGAGGCGACTCGCCCATGCTCTACGAAGCGCCCGCGCTCATCGTTATCTTCAAAAAATCCTAGAAAATAGAGACTTGGCCGGGGGTTCGGTAACCTTTTCGATTCGCAAATGGGGCGCCGCCCATTAAAAAAACGTTTAGGTTACCGCGAAACGGCCTCGATGGGGCCGAGCTAGCCTCGAGTCAAGCCCGCCGAGCGAGATGAGGGGCCGGAACGAGATCCAGCGGGCGTACTTGTCGCGCATCGCCACCCACTACCATCACCCAGCTAAATAAATATCTTTGTGCTCGCCCGGGAAGCCAGGATGACAGAGGGATTAAAAAATGATGAATCATCTGCATTTCGTCTAGAAATAACACAGAGCCATGAGGAATTTGTCCGGGGCGACAACTCCAATACCAGAGCTTTGGTGCTCGAAAACCTTGAAGTTGGCTCTGGAGGTCTCTGCTTTAATCCTCGGCTTGTTCACAACTTGATCCAACTGCGTTTAGAAAATACAGCCCTATGCAATTTCTCTTCCGGTCGCTCCGCGAGCTTGAGCGACGAGCTTGTGTCACTTGGTGAATTAGGGTATGGGGCCTGTTCGACAGTATATAAAAAGTTACACCTCCCAAGTTTGCGTATTGTTGCTGAGAAAAAGATATCTGTCAGCGATGCACAAAAGTGTCGCCAGATCGTGCGTGAACTTCAAACCTTGTATCTTGCCAGCATCAGTCAGAGTGCGCAGACTGTTCATATTTGGGTGTCTGACTTGGGCCCATTCAAATGTCCATTTTCTGTGCAAAAATACATCGTTGATTTCTATGATGCATTCATCGATCTAGACAATGGGCAATTGAGTGTCTTAGTGGAATACATGGACGGTGGGTCATTGCAGGATGTTGTAGACTCTGGTGGATGTCCGCATGAGACTGTGCTAGCCAATATTGCGCAGAGAATTCTGAATGGTCTTGTTTACCTCCACAGTATTCGGAATTGTATCCATCGCGATATTAAACCAGCAAATTTGCTCATAAATCACCATGGTGATGTTAAAATTGGAGACTTTGGAACTGCGCGTGAATGCTCGGCGAGTGTCGTTGATCGAGGTTGCGATGCAGCCAACATCATGACTTTTGTTGGCACGGTTACTTACATGTCCCCGGAACGTCTGCTGGGGGAGAGGTATGACTACACGGCTGATATTTGGTCCCTTGGGATGACATTGATGACTTGTGCACTTGGTCGATTTCCAT